AAGCGACGTGCCAGGGGACGTGCCATGGGCACGCACCGCGGGACGTGCCAAGGGGACGCGCTACGGAACGTGCTGGGGACAAGCGTTTCGCTCGAGACATCCTGCCAACATCCTCAGAATTCCTGCGCGCGGGGCGCGGACGCGCGAGACATCTTCGAAATTCTTGCGAGCGGGACGTGTAAACAAGCATTTCGCCTGAGACATCCTCTGAATTCTGGACCCCCACGAGGCCCCCCACGAGGCCCCCACTGGATACATCCCCCAATTTTGCAAAACCAGCGGTTCGCTCGAAACGTCTTCAACAAATTATGAAAGACAAGCATTTCGCTCGAGACATTCTGCCAAAATTCAAGGAAATCCTAGCAAAACAAACGAATTAGTCGAGACATCCTCGAAATTCCTGCGCGCGGGACGCGGCACGCGCGAAACATCATCGGAATTCCTGCGCGCGGAGCGCTTTTCCGCGTCGCGGTCGGCTCTGCAAAACCAGCGTTTCGCTCGAGACATCCTCAACAAATTCTGAAAACAAGCGTTTCGCTCGAGACATCCCCAACTCTGCAAAACTAGCGTTTCGCTCGAGACATCCTCAACAAATTCTGAAAAACAAGCGTTTCGCTAGGGACATCCTCAATTTTTAATTCGCCGGCCCTACGCGACCTCGTTATTTATCGCAAAAGAAATTCGCCGGCCCTACAACCGTCAAAACCGGGGGGAAACCAACTAAAAGAGAACCCTGGGCTCAGGCCCTTTCCGGGAAAACAGCAGCTACGGCAGACTTGGTTCAGTCATTTTGGTAAATGTTTGAAGCTTCGGGCCCCAATCACTAACCAGCTTTGAAGGCGGCCGGGGGGCGGAGCTGGACGGGGCACCAGAAAATCGACCAAGAGGGGGGGACCAGGCCAAATCCTCTCAGATCGGTCCCCGAACCCTTGTTGGGACCCATCTGGTGCAAGAGTTCACCCCGGATGCGTCTTTCGCTGTCCCGCGGGACCCGAAAACGGCTCCTGGAGACCGAACAAAGGCAAGAGAAAGACAAAGCAACAAGCAAACAAAACCTTCCCGAAACCCGAACCTCGAACCTCGCCCACCCCCTCCCTGCTCGACGAACAACCAGTGCCAAGCTGCACCTCAGGCCCCCAACCGGCTCCAAAACCGGCTCCCCGTACCCTGGGTCCTGGCTATTTCTCTCTGTTTGCCCTGAAGCACTGGCGAAAACTAGGGGCAAACATTCAGGTAGGCAGCGGAGTGTTCACTGAATGCTCACCCAGGATCCTGGCTACCCTGAGATCCGACGTTGCGAGAAAATTGCCGCATCGTCGTTTTGTCTGCGACACGCTGCGTCATTTTCGTCTTGCGTCATGCTTCAAGCCGGATCGATATGTAAGGGCCCCGGGGCCTGAAGCGCGGCGAAAGCGCCCGTTGTGAAAAGCTTGCAACGCCAGGACCTCAGGCCTACAGGGGCAGACATCCAGGCAGGCAGTGGATTGCTCACCGAATGCCATACCCGGGGTCCCAGACCCCCGACGTCGTGCCCCCCAGAGGTCTGGACCTCTTCCCCGGGACTGGCTCCTCGTCCCGAGTCGTTTCTGACAGCCCCAAGGCCGGCAGGGCCCCTCGGAGGCCGAAGCGAGCGAAAGCCCCCCGTCCTGATTTCTGTCACCCGTGGGATCGCGAACATCTGTGCTACCGCGCCCCCATACCCAGACCACGAGGGCACCGACTCTGGGGGAGAACCTCTCCTGGGTCGTGTCTCGACCAGGACCTCGAGGCGGAGCCGGCCATGGCGACAAGGAAGAACGGCAGCGGCACGTGCACTGGTACGTGATCCTCCTCCTCTTCCGCCACTTCCTTTTCCTGTGTCCCCCCTGATGTATGATAGCGGACCAGTGGTAGCGTGCCCGGGATGACAATCGATGACACCTCACATCCAGCAGTGCCACTACATGCATCCTCTTCCGCCTCCTCCTCGTCCTCCTCCGGAACACGCGTGGATGTGATCAGCCCGCCGCCCGCGCCGTACCCGATGGCAGCGCAGCCGCCGGCTCGGGGGGGCGGGAGGCCCCTCTGGCGAGCGCGCGCGGCGCCGGGCTGCCCCGAGGCTCGTGCGGTGGTCTTTCGGCGCGGGCCCCGCGGGGACCACTGAGGGCGGGCACACCTGCGAGGGACGGCCGGAGAGGCGCCCGCGCGGCGATGTCCGGCCGGCGGGGCGGCAGGGGGGAGGCAGGATTGTTCCAATGTTCGGCCACACGGCCCTGACCTTCCCTGATATCCTGGCGTTGCAGTTCCTCCACCACGGGTGTTTTCGCACCGTTTCGGGCCCTGGGACTCCCACAGAGATCGATCCAGCTCGAAAAATGACGCAGCAAGATGGGTTCCGTCGATAATTTTGGCGATGTGGCAATTTTCTCGCATCGTCGGGTCTCAGGGTCAAGACCCTGTTCTTCCAGAGCACTAAAAATAGCCCTCCAGAAATGGAGACCTCTCTGGACTGCCTAGGAAACCTCGACGGGAGTTCAGATGTCGAGGTCATGGTGCTCTTCTTTTGGCCCTCGTGAAAGGTCAGGCTATATCCTAGAGCAGCGCAGCCGCCAGCTCGGGAGGCCCTCGGCGAGAGAGCGGCGCAGGGCCCGCGGGCGTCTGCGAGCCGGCTGGAGGGAGGCCCGGCGGAGTCGTGGTGGGCGGTGGGGGCCGGTCGGGAGGGTCTCAGGTGGTGGACTGGGCCCCCGCAGGTTCGGAAGGGAGGGGGGGAGAGAAGGGGGAGGAGGACAACCTGGGTGCGCTCGCGTCATATCTGACGTCCTACCCCTCCCTCCCATCCCACCATGGCGTAGATCTCCTCTCCATTCGCACAGTCGGATGTCGAGCAGGGCAATGATCCCGGGAAGGTACGCGATGCACCGTAGAACACGGCATAGCCTGTCGTAGAAGAGCACTGCAGAGCGTAGCATGTCATAGCATGGCGTGGCATTTCGTAGTGAAGCATTGCATCACAAAACATTGCAAAGCAGAGCATAGCATCGCACAGCGACTCAGAACACAACGCCGCGCTGCATGTCATGGCATGGCACCGGGCTCCTTGGAGGGTAAGGTGATCGACTTCGGGAGGTCTGAAGGTCTGAAAACCACGGATCCATGTTTATTTCCCTGGGCTCCCCAGGAAGCTCCCCACGAGGCGGGGCCGATGGAGAGAACCCGCTGGCTCTGCTTTCAACATCGCCTTCTCAAGTAGAAACGGGCTCCCGCCTGATACTTCCTCATAACGACGACGCCCCAAAATGGTGGGTGGCCTTCTGCGTCCACAAAAACCAACGGATTGGCACAAAATGTGCAACCACTTCCGATGTTTTTTCGGGGGACATTTTTTACATGTGGGTCTATTTGAAAGGACGGGAAACGTCCGCGCTGCAGCGGTACCACGATTTGGAACGACCAGAATTCAGAACGAGCGGAAGCACGGAAATGAGACCAGCGCTGCAGCGGGAGAACGATTCAGAACGAGCGGAAGCGCGGAAATGAGGCCAGCTCTGCTGCGGGGGCTCGAATCGGAACGAGCGGAAACCTGAATATAAGGCCAGCGCTTTAGCGGGAGCAGCATTTTTGTCAAACACAAGGCGATAACCCATTTCCCGGGAATCTTGTGTAAAAGCGAAGGGGGCCGGATATCTTCCCGACGTCATCAGGGGAGAGAGAAGAGTAGTACTCATATTGCCTAACTGGGGAAGAAGGAATGGGAGGAGGAGGAGAAAGAAGAAGAAGAAGAAAAATAGTAAGTAAAAGTGGCAGAGGAGGAGAAGGCGGAAAAAGGAGGAGGAGGAGAAGGATGACAAAGTAGGAGGAGAAGTAGGACGAGGAGGAAGAGATGACAGATGAGAAGGAGGCGAAGAAGGATGACTGAGGAGAAGAAGGATGACAGAGAAGGAGAACGGATAAGGCGGAGAAGGAAAGCAAATGGAGGAGGGCAGCCGACCGAGCAGGGTCGCCCCTGGCGTGGCCCTGTGGCCCCCCGGGCAGATCGGACGCTTGTAGGCAGGCGCCCTGCGCAAGAGCGCCGCAGCCTGCCTCGCACGAAATCCACCGGAGCCGGGCCAGAGGAGAAGGAGGACGCGGGTGTAGGAGCCAGAGTAAACCCAGCATGCACCAATGATGCTGCAACGCACCTCCCGTCCCTCCCTCCCTCCCTCCTCCCCTCCCTCCCTCCCTCCCTCCCTCCCTCCCTCCCTGCCTCCTCCCTCCTCCCTCCCTCCCTCCTCCCTCCTCCCTCCTCCCTCCTCCCTCCTCAACATCCTCCTCCTCCTCATGAGTCCTCACAGGTAGCCCTGCTCACCGCGGGAAGCACCTCCCTCGATCGACGAGCACCCGTGGGCCTGCCATGCGGGCGAGATCCCGTTCTGTAAGGATCCACCACGTATCGCTACAGGCATAAGTCAGGTGGACATACGAGCCAAAGAGGTCAACGGGAACTCTGCTCTGATAACGATATGCCCGCAATCCGTGCAAGCGTTGCACACGATGGCAAAGTATCTTCAAACACAGAACAGAATCTCAAGCGAACGACCATGAAGTAACGAGAGAGACCCTCGATCCGAATACACGTTGTGGAGTGTGTGAACCTCAAACCATAGCATGTGGAAGGGACTCAGCGAGGGCCCCACTCTTGAAAGCAAGGAGCCGCCCCTCAACCATGGAGCTCCTAAGATATTCAAGACGTGCGTGCGCAGCGACACAGCGAGAGCCCCACTGTGCAAGCGAATCACCCTCCATCTGTGTAGCTCTTGTTTTTGGTCCAGAAGAGCGCCCACGGCGCCGAGAGGAGAGCCTCATCTTGAACACGAAGCTGTGCTCCGTTCGTGCAGCTGCCAAAGATTGCAGGCCTCAAACTCATGACTTCTAAAGGAGTCTCAGGCAGAACGCCCCGACGACAACCCTGGTTGTGCGACAGGGAGGAGGCATGCATGACAGAGGGAGGATGGCGGAGGAGGAAGCAGGAGAAGGAGAAAGGCCTCCCCCTGGTCTTTGTCCATCGGTCCGAAGCGCTGCTTGGCCAACTGCGTTCGCAGCGCATCGACCTGCCACTGGAGTTCGGCCTTCTCCACTACCAGCTGGTCCACCGTGACGCGAAGCTCCTTGTCGTGGGCGTTCGAGAGCCTGTAGAAAATACATATACCATGAACATGTGCTTTCGGAGGGCCGACGGATTGCATGGGTCAGCGCTGGACCCCCGCCACACACCCCTGGCGGCGCCTCCAACGCCGCTCCCAGCACGGGCCGCGCGGTGGGGAACGTGTCTGGGGTCGCGCCGACCTCCGAAAGCTCATGTCGATCCTCAAACTCACGTTGATTCTCCACAAACAACGCGCGCGCGCTACGGACTTCTTCTCGCCGCTGACAGGAGTGGGTGGGCTCCGCCGGCGGTCGCCCCGTCACCGCCTGAGGCCGCCCCGTGGCCGCCCAGGGTGCCTGTTGGGCTCTCCGGGTTCTCGCCCAGCCCGGCCCTGGCCCCTTCCCGCCCCCGGTCCCGGACCCGGCCCCGCCGCCCCGCCCCGCCCCAAGCCCACACCTGTCCACCTCGAACTGCGCCTCGCGCCCAGGTTGGAGTGAGACTCGGGGGCCGCCCGGTGTGCCGGCCGTGTGTTTTCCGTGCCTGCGTGCGGTGGCTGCCCGCGGCCGCCTCGCGGCCACCCCGTGCGCCGGCTGGCGTTCTCGGGCAGCTCCGCACGGCCGGGCGCCCGTGCCGCCCCGGGGCGCACCGTGAGGCGGGCACAGCCTGCGCCACCCGAGCTGCCCCGCGCCGGCTGCACCACGCGAGGCCCCCTTCGGAGAGGGATCCGCGGGTCCCCCTGGGGGCCAGCAGGCTGCGAGGGCCAGGCCAGGCCGCCCTGCTCCCTGCACCAGTGCCAGCTCGCAGATCAAGACCACAGATGTGCGGTAGTTTCGAACTCTAGCGTTGTCATGATGGAAGTCCGCGCGAAGGGGGGGGGGCAGAAGGAACCCTGTTCCCCCCTCCTCTGGGGGTGCTCCGACGTGTTTCGGGCACCCTGGGACACCAAAAGGAACAATAGTTTCGCGCCCCAGAGGCCAACCCCTTGTAAATGACGTCACGCTCGCGCTCCCGAGGCCACCCCTTCAAAATCGACAGGTCCCGACGCCACAACCCCTTGTAAAGTACAACGCAGTGGCGCCCCCGAGGCCACCATTCCCCGTACGCTGAAACACGCTCGCGCTCCTGAAGCCAGGGCCCCTTTTCAAATTACGACGAGTGTGCGTCCCCGAGGCCACGGTCCCACCCCATGGAGGTTGCCATCAGCGTCAGTAGTTCTCCACGGCAGAAGCAGCGTACTTCTGTTTGTGATGCGTGCTCGGGGGGGCGCTGTTCGGTTCCGCCGTCATTTCCCAAGAATTCAGGGACACGTAAAATGCAGCAGGGTCGCGCCCCTGAGGCCACAATCCCTTTCAAATTACAACGAGCTTATTACGTCCCTGAGGTAACAGTCCAAGTACGTTGCAACAGGTTAGCGTTCCCGACACAACAACCATGCAAATTACAACGCGCTCGCGCTCCCGATGCAACAACCCCTTGTAAAATACTACGGGTCCGCGCTCCCGAGGCAACAACTCTTGTCAAAGTAGTACGGGTTCGCGCTCACGAGGCTGCAAGCATTCGTACGTAAACCACAGCGCGCTCACGTTGCCGAAGCAACAACCCCATGTAAGTCACAGAGCGATGGCGCTAGCGAGGCCATAATCACTTGTAGTAAAGTTCTACACACTCGCACTCCCCATGCTATGAACCCACCCCACGGAGGCCGCCCAAAAGCACCACCCCGTCTTCAGAGCAGACAGGTGCCACGTTCTCAATTTGGATATGTGTTCGGGGGTGAGGTGTTTTGCCCGCCCCCCAGTTCTTAAGAATTCGGCTCTGGATCCGAGGCCCCGCATCAATAACATTGGCTATGATAGAGGGCAAGCTCCCGTAGTACGCTCCCGAGGCCACACGCTCTGATTAGATTCGCGCAGCCAGCCAGCCAGCAAACATCCCCAAACAACTGCCAACCATCAAGCTAGACAAGCCCGTCAGCCGAGTTACCAGACAGCCAGCCGACAAGAGAAAACCAACCAACCTACCGATCAAGCGTGGTCACGCAAGCAATATGAAGGGGGCTGGCGGCAGAGAGTAAAGCCTTTCAGATATCTGCCACTGTGCAGGGGGCACCCACGCTGGTACAAGAGGTCCTCGAGATGGCCAGGAGCGCTTCAAGACGGCCTTCGGAGCCCTTCCCCTAAGTCGTGCCCCCCAAGACATTCATTCCATACGACCGAGGCCCCCGAGGCTTCCCCAAGAGGCTCCAAGAAGGCTCCGCGAGGCCCCAAGAAGCTCCAAGAGGCCCCCACAATGCCTCCGAGGAGCCCCCAAAAGGCAGCACAGGAAGCCAAACTCAGCCTGGCGAAGGACCCAACCAGATGCAGCTGCGAGTATCGCAGGATATGCCACTCTCTCGTAAGTAGAGCGCCACGAAAGGGATGGAGCACGGGGCAACGCGGATGGGAGCCCCGAAACGTGCGTGGGGTGTGCCGAAGTGAGCGGGGGACACATGCGGGCGCTGCCACTGGGGTCTTCGTCCAGAGCTCCCTATGGGGCCACGAAGGGTGTGAGGTGAGGGGCGTGACAAAATCGCCTGAGGCCGCCATACGAACCCTGCATCTGAGGCCTTCTGCAGAGCTCCGTATTGTGCCACGATCCTCGAGAGGGGTGCGCCAAAATCGCCCGAGGCCGCCATGCGAACCCTATCACTGAGGCCTTCGGTGGAGCTCCCTATGGGGCCACGGTCCTCATGAGGGGTGTGCTGACATCGCCCGAGCCCGCCATGCGAACCCTGCCACTGGGGCCTTCGGTGGAGCTCCCTATGGGGCCAAGATCCTTGTGAGAGGTGCGCCGAGATGGCCCGAGGCCGCCATGCGAACTCTGCCACTGGGGCCGCCTTCGGTGGAGCTCCCTCTGGGGCCGCGATCCTCGTGAGGGGTGTACCGAAATCGCCCTAGGCCGCCATGCGAACCCTGCCACTGGGGCCTTCGGTGGAGCTCCCTATGGGGCCACGATCCTCGTGAGGGGTGTGACGAGATGGCCCGAGGCCGCCATGCGAATCCTGCCGCTGGGGCCTTCTTTGGAGCTCCCAATTCGGGCCACGATCCTTGTGACGGGTGCGCCGAGATGGCCCGAGGCCGTCATGCGAACCCTGCCAAGGTTTTTTTCGGCGGAGCTCCCTGTGGGGCAAGGATGCTCGTGAGGGGTGTGCCAAAATCGCCCGAGGCCGCCATACTATTCCTGCCACTGGAGCCTTCGGTGGAGCTCCCGATGGGGCCGCGATCCTCGTAAGGGGTGTGACGAGATGGCCTGGGGCCGACATGCGAGCCATGCAACTGGGGCCTGCTGCGGACCTCCTTATGACGCCGCGATCCTCGTGAGGGGTGTGCCAAACTCGCCCCGGGCCGGCGAGAGCTTCCTATGGGGCCACGGTCCTCATGAGGGGTGTGCCGAAATCGCCCGAGCCCGCCATGCGAACCCTGCCACTGGGGCCTTCAGTGGAGCCCCTTATGGGGCCACGATCCTCGTGACGGGTGCGCCGAGATGGCCCAAGGCGGGCATGCGAACCCTGCCACTGGAGCCTTCGGTGGAGCTCCTTTTTGGGCCACGATCCTCGTGAGGGGTGTGCCGAGATGGCCCGAGGCCGCCATGCGAACCCTGCTACTAGAGCATTCGGTGGAACCCCCTTCGGGGCCACGATCCTCGTGAGGTGTGTGCTGCAATCGCGTGAGTCCGCCATACGACTCCTGCCACTGGAGCCTTCGGTCGAGCTCCCTTGGGGCCACGATCCTCGTGAGAGGTGTGAGGAGATGGCCTGGGCCGACATACAAACCATGCCACTGGGGCCTTCTGCGGAGCTCCCTAAGGACGCCACGATCCTCGTGACGGTGTGCCAAAGTCGCCCCGGGCCGGCATGCGAACCCTGCCGCTGGGGCCTTCGGCGGGGCTTCCTATTGGGCCACGATCCTCGTGAGGGGTGCGTCGAAATCGCCCGAGCCCGCCATGCGAACCCTGCCACTGGGGCCTTTGGTGGAGCCCCTTTATGGGGCCACGATCCTCGTAACGGGTGTGCTGAAATCGCCAGAGGCCGCCATACGAACCCTGCTACTGGGGCCTTCGGTGGAGCTCCCTTTTGGGCCACGATCCTCGTGACGGGTGCGCCGAGATGGCCCGAGGCCGCCAGACGAACCCTGGTTCTGCTGCCTCTGGTGGAGCCCCCTTCGGGGCCACGATCCTCGTGAGAGGTGTGCCAGAATGGCCAGAGGCCGCCAGGCGAACCCTGCCACTGGAGCCTTCGGTGGAGCTCCTTTTGGGGGCCACGATCCTCGTGAGGGGCGTGCTGCAATCGCCGCTGGGGCCCTTCGGTGGAGCTCCCCCTTTCGGGCCACGGTCCTCGCGAGGGGCCCGCGCCTGCCCGAGCCACCGGCCCGCACGGAAACGCCCGCGCAGCCGAGCGGACTCGGAAACGCGCTGGGGAGTGCCCGTCAGCAGGCGCCATCGCGGCCGCATCAGTGGTGCTCAGCAAGCGGACTCTGAAACGCGCTCAGCAAGCGCCATCGCGGCCGCATCAGTGGTGCCAGACCAGCTGGCCGCTCTGCGCGCGAGCTTGCGCGCGCCAGCGCGGCCGCAGAGATGCGCCAGCGAGCCAGCGCCAACCACATCTGCAAAATCGTGGCACGTGGGTGTTGCACAACAGGCTGCGTATGGGAAGGTGGGATGGTTGCGAGAGCACTGGAGTTGACAACTCACTACTTACAACAAACAGTTTGCACCACGTAGATTGCACCGAATAGTTTACATCCTACAGGGTGCACCACATACATTGCACATCAAGAGTACATAGCCCCATTATTTGGGGCACACGCTGGCAAACATTCATGGTTTTGCTGCATCGCCTCTTGAGGAGCTCGTGGAAGCTTTCCTCGCTGTCGCGCTTCTCCTCCGCCGTCAGGGGGTTGGAAAGTTTCCAGTCCCTGGGAAAGCAGCCGTACTCATCGTCGCCGATACTCGGAGGATGATGCACGACGGGAGCAGGAGGATCAGCATGCCAGGAGGGTGCCTATGGAGGCCGACCAAATAAGACTGGAGCAGATGGGGACGGAGGATTGTACCGTGGCGCCGATGCAGCGGCGTTCCGTCGGCGATGTCGGAACTGAGTAAGTCGCAAACTGGAATACGCCGTGTTGCCGATGCATATCGCGGATACGGCGCGATCCTCCGGCCAGATCTACTCTGGCACACAATTTGAGATGCGCCGAGCCTTGGCGAGTTCCCCGTCTTGCCATGCCTCTCCAGTAGATCGCAATCCAGAAGCGTCCGCTTCAGACTCGTGGACCGATGTGGGCCGTGAGCTGCGGTCCCGGTCAGTGCCAGCCCGGGACCGAGACGCGCTCGAGATGCCAGACGCGCTCGAGAATGAGCGCTTCGCGAGCATGCCGTCAGCTCAAGCGGATGGCTGGCGCGCAAGAGCCACCTACCTTGAGCCTGGAGAAGGCCGCACAGCCCATTTACGGGACGGGAAAACGACCACAGCCACTGCTTTTCTTTTGTTGCCGCCTTCCAGCCAGCAGAAACAAAGCAGTGGTTGTGGTCATTTTCGTTAAGCTTGGCACCAGGGAAATGACCACAACCACTACTTCTTTTTCGGCCGGCTGGAAGGCGGCGCAAACAAGAAGCAGTGGCTCTTGTCATTTTCCCGTCCCGCACCATTGCCATGAGAAAACAGGGTCGTGGCGGAAATTGGGTCCCAAGCCCTGGGGTTGTCCCCGGGGACCGGTTCTCCATCCCAGGTCGTGCCGGGACGGTCCTGGGGCCCGAGGAGGGCCTCGTGGGCCCGACAACAATGAGAAGCCTCAAGGAACCATTTCCGCAGGTCACCAGCCTCGAACGTATCCCTATCCCTAAGATTGACACGCTAAAAGGAGATGACAATCTTAGGGATACACCCTCAGAAACTGAGGAAATCCCTAAGCTCGCCATCGTGATGAGGCGATGCCCACCATAGGGATAAGGATATGTTCCAGGCTGGTAAGCAAGGACCCCTCCTCGTCGCGGCGGCCCTCCTTACCGCAAAACATCGATCCCAGGACACCTCCCAGCGCGCGTCCTGGTCTAAATTCTTCACGCTTCGCGTATCCCCACCAGCCCATCTCAAAACAGCAACTCTAGCGAAGCATGCCGACAGTCGTGTTTTTCAGGCGTGTTTCCGCCTGCCCCCGCATATCTCCCCTGTTCCTCCTTCCTCCCGCCTCCTTGTACATCCTCCTTGTGGTGGGAGCGGGAGAAGGACGAGGCGGAGGAGGAGGGAGAGAAAACGCTCCTCGTGGTTTGAGTCGTTTGGGGTTTCTCGTCCTGGTGTGAGTCGTTCGGGCCCTTCTTCCTGGTGTGAGTCGTTCGGGCTCTTCGTGGTGTGAGTCGTTCGGGCTCTTCGTCCTGGTGTGAGTCGTTCGGGCTTCTCGTGGTGTGAGTTGTTCGGGCCCCTCGTCCTGGTGTGAGTCGTTCGGGCCCCTCCTCCTGCTGTTCCCTGGACGATGACGCTGACGAAGTGTATGGTGCTCTTTCCTGGCTAAGCCCCGACTCGGCAACCCCCAGGCGTCCGTCTATCAGCACGGTGACCCTCCAGGTAGGTACAGAAAGGGATGAGAGGATGATGGGAAGAGTATGGGAATGGGTCGGATCGGGCTTGGCGAAGAGAAAGGACTTGAGCCAAAGTGGTCATGGACTGGTCCCCTCACCTGTAAACACTCTCAAGCTCAAGGACTTTGTGGACTCACCAAAGTCATACGCCAGAGGCACTCAAACGCACAGTGCCCCGAAAAACAGTGAGCTTGAAGTGATGAAGACCAGACCATCCACTTTGCCTGGATGGTCATCTGAAACGAGTGAAACACGACGTGGCACAAAGGACTCCGTCCTCGTACCTGTAGCAACTCTCTTGCACCGGCAACAACAGCGTACTTGGAGCGCGGGGTCGCTCCTCTCTGGCCAGATGGCGTTCCTAGAAAAGGCAGTCGCCGGCACTACGAGAGTCGGACGCAGAGGCAAAATTGAAAGAGCTCCTCTAGCGCTGATCGCGCCATGGAGCCCTTGCCGGCTGCGCCTCGGAGGGTGCCCAGAGCAAAAAAGTGGGAGGAGACAGCGCACCGTGGGGAAGCCTACTGGAGCTGTCGCCTCGATTCGGCCCTGGAACGTCCCTCGGTTCTGGGGTCCTCCTATCTTTCCTGGATAGCGGATTCCTCCGCCGAAAGACGGAGCATGCCCGACTTGAGCATAGTCAACTGAGCGGCATTAGTCTTGGCTAGATCCGATTTGGTCATACAATCTACAGGCATCAGTGGATGCGGCATCCACCGGATCGCGCTTCCGATTTTCTCCATAGATGTCCTGACCACCGCTAAGTCTATGGCTGCCCGCCGGTCCGACTTGGACCCCGCCGTGAGCTTTGAGAGCGTGTCGCATATACCCTTTGCGTCGACCGCGCTCAGGTTCCCGGACTGTGGCTCCCCAAGAACCTGGCACTCGTCCTTTAGGATGGCGACGAAAGGACCTATATGCTCTCTCCACCTTTCGTGGACCACGTTTCCTCGAACCACGTCCAGCAATAATATTTGAAGCCGCTCGGCCTCTCCTAGAGCGCTGGACAATGGGTCTCCCCAGCGAGGGTGGAAGATAACTGTCGCCTGACTTTCCCAGACCTCCACGCGATCGGAGTGACGCGGGCCCGGGACCCGTGGGCCAGGGAGTTGTCGGCAACATATATCTGCCACGCCTCCTGAGGATGCTGCAGACCATCTCTGTCCTCCGCCCCCACTCCACCGCAATCGCTGGCAGTCGCCAGGACGAATCCGTCCGGCTTGAAACGCCACACGATGACGGGAAGCGAGGCCGTCGAGCGGAGATGATCCACCATCTTGTTGGCATCGAGCAAGTCGCGAACGCAAGGGCTGTTGACCTTCGTGGCTAATATGGAAGCCGCGCCGGCGGCCTCCGCCCTGGTCTCGCGACCTACCCACTGCAGCTTATAGACAAGGGACCTAAAAGCTGCTACTTCGCCTCCTAGCAGAGGGGCCCCGTGGTCTCCTTTCCTGCCGCGGGCCAGAAGGATCTTCTGGAGTTGCTCTAAAATGTATTTTTCTTGATCCACTAGAATACGATCCCCGTCTAACCTCAATCTCCTCCCGATGTACTCCACCCCTTCCGCGTCCAGGAGACGCATTTTCCCGAAAGTAAACCTTGACTTGAAGGGCTTGATGTACTGATCTTCTGACCCGGGCTTGAACGCGATGGCCCAGTCGTCGACTTCGACGAGCACTTGGGCCTCCAGCCCGCGGTCGGAGCGCTTCACAAACCAGCAGGGCTCTAACTTGGTCCGCTCGAAGCCCTGAGTGTGCATGAAGTTAGCTGCGGCGCGGTGAAAGGCTAACGGGGCATCATCAAGCCCGTGAACGGGGGCTATGAGCTCGATGAGAGATCCTGGTGGCACTGGCACCCCGTCACATGGTTCGACGAAAACCCGACCGCGAGCCCTCTTCAAGGGCTCAGACTGGCAAAACGTGTTTTTGATGTCGCCAATGTATATCGTCAACTTATACATGAGCGCCACCACCAAAAACAGCATAAGAGCTTCCATGCAGGGGGTTGGGGCGTAAACCTGGAGCTCGCACGTGTCCTCATCTTGGTGCCTACGAACACACCACCTAGATTTAGCCTTAGGTTTAGCAAACGTCCCCTCTTGTGGTTTCCACCTTCTCACCATGCGGCTGGACACGATTCGATCCGGGAAGAGCCTCCTAAGCTCTTTCGCCTTGTCCGGAGGATGGACGATGACGGCGCTAGTCCCCTCAGCTATGGCCTTCCATTCGACCGAGTCCGAAACGTCGAACTCCTTCTTTTCCTCGGGGCTCAGATTTTTGTAGTGGACCTCGGCTCCCCGGTTGGTCAAAAGCGAAAGGGAACAATCGCCGGACTCGTGGGGCACTATCTCCACATCGGCATTGCCATTGGAGTAGGTGATCCAGGATCCGCTCCAGCCCTCCCCCTGGAGTCTTTGATCCAGGCCTTGAAAACAGCTCCAGGACCCGGACCGCTGCTGGAGCAAGCCTCAAAGAACGCGTCAGCCACGGCAGTAGCCTCCTCGGGTCCTGAAGCGAAAAAGGTATCTACAAGAGCCGTGCTCGCGGGAGGGCCTGATGAGCGAGATCTGGCCCGAGGATGCTGTGGCACCGATTCTAACTCCGAGACCTGTTGCTGAACTCTACCTGCTGGAGTCCCCCGGAAAGCCTCTCCTGGAGTGAGCCTGGACAGCCTATGCCCGTCTAACTGTCGATTGTGCCTCACAGCTTCCTGCATCTCGCGCAAGATCCGACCGGGGTCTGAATCGGCATTACGATGTTGGCTTGCTGTATCGGCTGTGCTCAATCTCCGAGGATTGACGGGTGGAGCAGTGTCGATAGCCTCGCTAGGCGGTTCGGGAAACTCTCCGGAGGGAGCGGCCCCCCGCTCTATGGCGCGCCCTCTCTTCTCTCCCTGTGGTGGAGGAGGGGGCCTTCGTCGCGTGCTCCTGCCCTCGGCGCCGCCCCTCTCCGACACGGTGCGGGACGCGGCGCCTGACGGTGCAAGAGAGCCCCTTGACTCAGATCGAGACAGAACCCCGGAGTTAACTGGACCAGAGGAGACATCTCTGGACATTTAGTTGACCTCCTCCTGGCCCAGGATCCCTGGTGTCGTCCGAGGGAGCCACTTCTTCTCCCTCCGGAATGGGAGAGAGTCCCGGAGGGGCCTCGAGAGCCGGACCCTCTCGTCCCGCTCTGCCTCCTCGGGGGTCCTCTTCCGTTCCAGGAGGCGGTTGAGGTGACCGCTCGAGCGATTCTCCGGCGGCCGCTCCTGAGTCCCTCTCTAGATCAGGAACGTCAGCTCCGGGACCGTCTTCCATGGGCCCCCCCAGGTCCCAAGCTTCCGGAGGAGGAGGGCCTTCGGAGGCCACGTTGGTTCCCGCTCGGTGGCCACTGACCTGGGCCTCTCTGAGAAGCTGTTGAATGGCGGGATCCGCCATAACTTCCCCCCCCCTGGATTCTTCCGTGTTCGCCGGCCTGACTTGCTCTGATGAGCATTTCCAGAGCCTCGATCGCATCGCGACCCATATGGTTCCACCGTTTTGAATCACGACGAGCCCTGGCCCAACCCACCTATCCTTCTGTAAGGCGTAGGTATTTTGTCCCCCCTTTGGCGCTCTGCGCCAGACGTAGACCCACTGCCCAGGCACAAAATGCTTATCCCGATGGGTGGGCGCCTTGACAGCGCTGGCCAGCTTCTTCAAACTGGAACTCTCAAACAGCTCCTTGCGAGCATGCCGACGAATGGCATCTCGCCTCGCAAACTCCGCTGACGCGGTGTCTCGGTCCCAGGACCCGGGAGAGAGATCCTCGACTCCAACGACCTGGATCGGATCGTCGGCCAAAATATCGTTGGGAATCCTGGGGGTTATCCCGAAA